TATCCTATATATGTGTATATATATATATTTTTAATTTTTAAAGTTGTTTTTCACCTTTCTCTGGTATCTCCTTGAGTAGTTTAATAATCCTCTGAATTGTTTATCTGGCAATTCAGAGATTTCTTCTTGGTTTGGATCCATTGCTGGGGAGCTAGTGTGATCTTTTGGGGATGATATAGAACTCTGTTTTGTCATATTACCAGAATTACCTTTCTGGTTCTTTATCATTTGGGTAGACTATTTCAATGGAAAGGTCTGGAACTCAAGGCCAGCTGTTCAGATTCTGTTATCCCATGGGGTGATCCTTTGATGTGGTGCTCTCCCCCTTCCCCTAGGGGTGGAACTTTCTGACAGCTGGACTGTATTGGCTGTTATTACTCTTCTGGGTCTAGGCTCCCAGTGGAGCTACCAGGTTCCAGCTGGTGCTGCGGAATGTCTGCGAAGAGTCCTGTGATGTGATCTGTCTTCAGGTCTCCCAGCCATGGATATCAGTACCTGCTCTGGTGACGGTGGCAGGGGAGTGAAGTAGACTCTGTGGGAGTCCTTGGTTGTAGATATGTTTAGTGTGCTGGGTTTCTTGAATGCTGGCTATGCTAGCAGTAAAGTTTTCATGTGGACACACTCAGGACCTCTGGTTAGCCAGGATGCTGCAGGCATTGGAATTAGGTGTTATCTTCTCTTTCCTGGGTTCAGGGTTAAGAAGTGGTGCTTTCAAGAGAGCACCAGCTGCGGTGGTAGTAGAGGGATCTAGGCTTGCCCTAAGTTGGCCAGGGTAAGAAACCAAGTTTCTCAGATCATGGGTGGGGCCTTGAAGCTCCCAAGTTTCTATCTTTTGTGTTTGGTTACCAGGGTGAGTAAAGAAATACCATCATGTTGGGGCAGGGTTAAGCGGGTCTGGGCTCAGAGTCTCCTTGGGTGGGGTTTGTTGTGGCCACTGTGGGGGATGTGGGGGTGGTTCTTAGGCCAATGGGGTTATTTCCCAGAGGGGATCTTGGCTACCTCTGCTGTGTCATATAATTCACCAGGGAAGTGGGGGAAAGCTGGTAGTGAGAGACCTCACTCAGCTCCCACACAGTTGGCGAGGCCAGTCTCACTCCCAAAGTGCCCCACTCAGATCTTGCCCAAGGCTGTGAGCTTTCCCACTGAGAAAGCAAGCATGACTTTCAGATATCACCCCTCCCCATCTGCCCACTTCAATGGGAGGGACTTTGCTTCTGAGTTCATGTGCTCATATTGCCAAAGCTCCCACTCGTCCCCCAGACTCCATTAAAGAAAATTTGTGTCCAATTGAAACCACTACCAATTTCAATTGGAAGCTTCCTTCACCTGGTGACCCCTCCCCAATTCCACTGGCTACCTTCCCTGAGAGCTCCTGTGACATATAGTCAGGAATGGCTTCCCTGGGCTCAAGCTGAAGACTGGAAGTGCCTGTAAGGCACTTCCCCTGATACTTCTACTTTTATATTTTGTGTGACTGCCTACATTCATTTTAGTTCTAGGTAAAGTTAAATTCTCCCTTGATCTGGATTTTCAGATTCCCCATTGGGGATGTGTATTCAGAGGCAGGTTTTTTCCCTCTCACACTTTGGGAACTTACA